GCAACTAATAGATAAAAGTTCTGTTAAAATAAAATCTTAATTCAAGATACATGGTATAATTGGGGATCATTCTTGTTAGTAAGGAGTGTTATGCAGTCTCCCTCTCACTTTCCTCTCCTTATAATGAACAAATCAATATTTACACTATTCAGGCTATTTCCAAACTCCCAGGGGAGATAACAGTTTTCAAAATAAGAATAACCATTGGCATGGTTATGAAACTCTTGTGTTGCCTCTGTAAATAAATACCAGGACAATGAGAAGCTAAGAGGTGTGTGGAATTTTCAGCCTCAGACATAATAAATAGGTTTGCTGAAGCTCCAGTCATAGTACTCAGGATTCTGAAATGCTGCACAGCCCATCGACAGCACAGCTCAGACCACCATGAAGTACAGCAGATATCTCAGGATATCTCTCAGGGTATGTCTACACTGCAGAGCTTTTAGGGAAAAGCGGTCGTTTTTCTGAAAAAACTACACTTACATCCACATTGCTATTGAGTTCTTTTGGTAGAAAGTCAAAAGAACAGAGGGACTTTTCCAACAGTGGTAAACCTCTTTCTACGAGGAAGAAGCCTTTTTCCAAAAAAGCTTTTTAGGAAAAAGGCATGTGTGGACACGGATGACAGTGTTTTTTCGAAAGAAGAATCCTCAAGGAAAAAGCACGGGTGCCCTGGTGGCCGCTCCATGCACAGTAATCAGAACTGAAATGCAAGATAGCATCCAATGTATGTGGACACTATCTTTCGAAAAAGCACATCATTTTTTCGTTGCGCTTTTGCTGTGTAGACATTCTCTTTCAAATAATGTTTTTCTGGACAATCTCTTCCAGAAAAGCTTCTTCTGAAAGAAGCTTGCAGTCTAGATGTAGCCTCAGTTAGAGTAGCACAGAATCTACTCCACTGAGTTTGATACAGTGCCATCATAATATTCCTTTTGCCTCTCTACTTTAGGAGAATTCCCAAAGAGATAATAAAATTTATTCAGTGTGTTGCTCAATCAGCTTTTTAACACCTGGCTCCCTAAGGTTTTGGTATTCCTCTTTAAAGTCTACATCTCCTATATCAAATATCAAACTGTTTTCTATGCAGACACCAGTAAAAATTCAAGAAAGTGCATTATCACCTACGACCGTTATTTTAATACGCACACCTATTAAAATACACATCACCCATTATGCAAAACTTCCATAGACAATTTTATTAAAATCCTGGGTTTCTTTCCTAATATTTGATTGGATAAAATTTGAACAGAGAGAGCAAGATGAACAGAGACATTTATGAATGATGACAACTTAGTCTATTTTAAATATTTTTTTTCCTTCTGAGCAGTGCCTAATTTGTAATGAAAGGGGTTCCAGGGCTCAAGTAATTATTTTTATTTTCATAACTGATGTGTCAAGCCCAGAGGTACTGGGGCTACAAACTGCCAAGCCCAGAGGTGCTGAAGCTATGAGTAACTAAGTCTAGAAGTGCTCGGCTTCAGCCCTGGAAAATGCTGGCACAAATTAAGCACTGCTTCTGAACATTGGTATTATTGGATATTAGAAACAGATCTAAGCTACAAAATTTGGATCAAAATCTGGATCTAGATTTCAACCATTCTAAAGGTAAAGACCTGAAGGTTTGTTTCAAGGCATTTGTTATTGTACATAAATATAGACTGTGGATTCACTATGAAGGATAGAACAACTCAGGTGATCCCAAATATACATAGCTTTACCATCAATCTGATTTCTGCTCTATATTCTCCGGGTGATCCCAAATATACATAGCTTTACCATCTATCTATATTCTCCAATTTATTGAGCTCACTAATTCCATTAAGGTAAAATAAATCAAACTTACCTTAAGTATAATTCAGGGAATCATAATTATTAAAATAGTAAAACCCTCCTCCTGTAACTGACATTAAGGATCACATTTTAATCTTATTATTTCCTTTCTTCTCTTTTTTTTGTGTCTTTTTCTTTGCAATAAGTACACCTTTAATTTTGGTCATTTAGATATCTAAGTACAGATTTGTAAATGATCACGTATTTGCGTATCTTAATGATGTCCAAAGATTGTGCACAGTTGGAGTGGAGCCTTGCAAAACCTAATTCTCTTTTCTCTGTATTTTTTTGAAATACTCTGCATCCCATTTGTGTCTTGAAACTTGTCGGGTGAGGAAAGGGAGAAGGGATTTCCTGGCTATCTTGTCGAAACTTGAGCCCACTTTTCTCTGTCTAAATCCCTACATTTGTTTAAAGATATTTAAATGTGACATGTTAGATTTTATATAGCTGCCTTTGGAGCTGACCTACTTTGAGTACAAGTAATGAGAACTCATCAGTTTGGACGCAACACCAAATTAGGGCCTGATTTTCACAACTATGTAACTCTTATTGGCTTCAATGGAGTTACTATACTGAGGCTCTATCTACACTAGCACTTTTATCAGCAAAACAGTTTTTGGTCCAGCCTGACAAAAAGTTTCATAAACAAAAGCACCAGTGTGGACAGTGGTATGTTGGTGGGAGATGCTTTCCTGCCAACATAGCTATCACCGCTTGTTAGGGGTAGTTTGATTATGCCAGTGGAAAACCTCTCTTCTCCTGCCATGGAATGTCTACACAGGAAACTAACAATGGCACAGCTGTAGTGCTACAGGTGAGCTAGTGTAAAGTCCGTAGTGTAGACATAACTTTAGTCGAGTGTAAGTGTGAAGTAGGAATAAGATCCTCCGGAGTAATCTGAAATGTAGTGCACAGGATGACTAAAAACCAACAATGCAGAAATTAAAAAAATGGAAAGGTGCAATGTCTCAAGGGCAAACAAACATCTTTCGAATGGAAGTCTCTTGACAGAATAGCTTGACTAGCAATACCAGTTACTATCAGATTAATATAACCACTTTTAAAAATATTGTTTAGAGAATAAAAATAGGCATAACACTCAAACACAAACTGTTTCCATGAACATTCCAGATTTTGGTGTTTATAATAAAAATTGGTTTTTTTTTTCACTTAATTTTTTTCACAAAATCTTTCTGCTCCTCCTTTCCTACATAGACCAAACTTCCCAACTAGACTTCGGGTATGTCTACACTGCATGCTTATTTCTAAATAAGCTATTCTGGAAGAAATACTCCAAATTAGATTTTTTCAAAATAGGACATCTACACTACAGCGAAGCCTCAAAATTAGTCCAGGGCAGGTTTCCCTAATGTGGACATGCTACCTTAATTTAGAGGGCCAGGAGGCATTGGGGAGTAATTAGTCTGAATGGCCCTGGAGAGGAGCTATTTCGAAATAGCAGCAGTGGAACATCCACACTACTGCTATTCTGAAATAGCTATTTTGAAATAGGCATTATTCCTCATTGAATAAGGTTTACAGAAGTCGGAATATTTCAAACTTATTTCAGAACAACAGAATTATTGTGTAGACACTCACATTGTTATTTTGGAATAAAGGCTGGTATTCCAAAATAACGCTGCTGTGTAGATGCACCCTTCATATCCCATGATTCACTATGACTGTCATGATGTATGCAACTTCTCTTCTCACCCTGAAGGGAGATACTGGTGTATTGGAGATGTAGTCTGAACAGAAAACCTGGCCTGCAGAGGAGAATAGGACCATGAGACATCTAAAGTACAGTTCCTATAAAGCACTGTTGTGGCATTTCAAAACTGCAATATATGTTTTTGGAAGAAATATTTATGATTTTGATTCTTCACCAAAAACATGATTACAGGAAAAAAAGTCTCATTTCCCCAAACAGCTCTAATTTGAATCCCTCCACTTTTGTGGACATTGGATATATCTTGCTAATTCCCACCAACACACTAGGAGGGTGCTGAAGTACTGGAATGGGTTCCCTATGGAGGTGGTGGAATCTCCATCCCTAGAGGTTTTTAAGTCCTGGGTTGACAAAGCCCTGGCTTTGATTTAGTTGGGATTGGTCCTGCTTTGGGCAGGGGGGTGGACTTGATGACCTCCTGAGGTCTCTTCCAACCCTATGATTCTATGAGTCTTTGTTCTTTGATAGTTCATTTGTTAGCACACATCAAAAAAGCATGAGACACTTTAGAGATTACTGTCGGTATCTGCTGAAAAGATGCCCATGCAGCAATTACAAGGGGATGGGTGTTATACTTATGGCCTTAGCAACTTTGGGACCGCTGTTTGGAGAACCTCACAGGTCACTGACAGGCACATTGTCCTCACTGTCATGAACAGTCACTTTCCTCATTGATTTAAATTAAAAAAAAATACCCAAGATCTTCCCCAAGCTGTTTCCTATATGAAAAGAGTAATCTGAAATGTACTAAGATCCTGATTCACTGTCCATTGAGGTCCTTCTGTTGAATTCAGAGGAGGCATAGAATCACTTCCACAGACTACATAAAGCATTTGTTTTTACTCCAGTGGTATGAAACTGCTGGATGGAAATTGTTATTCATTGCAATGCGGCATTTTATGACCTTAAATAAACAGACAAGGTCTGATTCTCATTTACACAAAAGCCCCTTGACTTTGCTAGGGTGTAGCAAGGGCCTGAAAAGTTGGAGTTTAAGACTCTAATGTGGGGTGGAGGGCAATAAGCGGGAGGCAGCACAGCAGGGTTAGTGCTTATCAGGCTGCCAATGCTTTATTTACCTGCACGTCCACCGGTACAGTCACTTGCAGCTCCTAGTGGCTGCAGATAGCCAATGGAAGCTACGGGAAGCAGCATGGGGCATGACACCACTTCTCACACCTCCCATTGGCTGAGAACAATGGGAATGGCAAGCAGCCGTACCTGCAGATATGCTGGTAAATAAAGTGCCGGTGGACTACTAGGGGCTAACCCTGGCAAACTGCATCTGGCTCACAGGCTGCTTATTGCCCACTCCTGCTGTACTACCGACACAGATTCAGCTAATACTTCATAAAGCAAAAAGTTGAAATAACAATGATTTGTTTGGATAAATGGTCAGGCAATGCATTGTAATGTTGTTTGTATTTGATTTTACCTTCTGCATCGGTTAACCCCACTCCTGACTGCTTTACTGATTCTTGTCCATTCTGGCTCATCTTCCCTCTGTTGAAAAAAGCAGTTTTGTAGCCGTCAGGGAAGCCTTGAACACAAGACACCAAAGCACAAAGAAATCCTCAAACAGCTGATTAGTACTGTCCAAAAAGAGAAGAAACAATCACATCCTGATTTCCCTCGAAGGCACCGAACATTTTTTTCGTACATAACGGAAAGGGCAATAACTTTGCAGAAATGTGATTAGATATGCAGAAGTGTTGGTCTCCCATTGTAAACTGGAAAAGTCATTTCAGAAATGCTATCTGTCTGCTTGTCGATCTTTTGCACAAACTTGTAATCACATCTTTGGATAGCTTGTTCCTCCTCTCTCTATAGTCTGCTATGGGAAAGGTGAAATAAATAACACAGGGCCAGATTATAAGCATTAGTCCATGTATTCTAATATATCACAGCTCTTGGCCATTGCACCCACATTGGTCGAAGGATATTAGGGAGACAAGATGGGTGAGGTAATGTTTTTTATTGGAGCAATTTCTGTTGGCGAGAGAAAGAAGCTTTCAAGTTTACACAAAGCTCTTCTTCAGGACTGGGAAATGCACTGAGCCTCACAGCTAAATACAGGCTTGAACAGATTGTTTAGCATGAGTAGTTAATACATTTTTTCAAGGGATCATTCAAGGTGAAGTAGCCCATTAACACCTCTCCAGTCATAGGGAAGAAAAGAGGGGAAAAGGCCCCAACAGCAACATTGTAGGTGAAATCAGGCAATCAGGACATTCTCAAAAATATAAGACAAAACAACATCTCCTATGTGTGAACACTCTTCACAAAATGATCAGCACCTGAGATCTTAAATGTTTAATTTTGGTAGACATGAAAAATCATAGACTGAACAGAGACTGGATTTATGGTTTATTACAGTATTAATAACACACAAATCCCTGCTCCCGCAGCTTTTTCCCCTGTAACACTGTAACCGGCCAGGTGTTAATGGGCCTCTTCATCTTTATGGTCCTTTAACATAGATGTTATAACTACTTATAGTACCTTACAGACTAACAAAAATATATAGTACCATGAACTTGCATGGGCAAACCCCACTTCATCAGATGATGAGTTGAAGTAGAAACTACAGAAACCAAGTTATTTATCATCATCTCCCTTCATGCCCGCTGGCATATAGGTCAGCAACAAAGATCCTCCACTTCTGTCTGTCTCTGGCCAGCCTTTCAATAGTGCCCCAACTGTAATTCATGCTCTTCATTTCTACTTCAGTGGTCCAGCGCCACATTGCCTTGGGTCATCCTCATTTCTGCTTCCCTTCAGGGGTCCAGTGCACAGCAGTCTTTGTGATGGAGCTTCCATCTTTCCTGAGCAGGTGCCCAATCCATCTCCAACATCTTTTCATAATGATGGTAGCCATGTCATCTTGTTTGCACCACTCAAGCAGGTCCTAATTTGAAATTATTCTTGGCCAAAAAATACGGAGGATCCTCCAAAGACTTCTGGTGTGAAAAGTAGACAATTTATCGAGGTCATACTCTGTCATCTGCCAGCATTCTGATCCATATAACAGTGTTGATAAAATACAGCTCTGATAAAACTTCAGTTTAGTATGGATGCTGTACTGTGATGACTTCCATAGAGCATTCAGACTCATGAAGATATTTCTGGCTTTACTGAGTCTGTTCTAGATATTGCTTCTGATGCCTCCATCTTGCCTGATAATACTACCCAAGTTTGTAAAGCTCTCTGTGATAGGTAGGTAGTGGACATCGATCTTAACTGATGCTGGTGCCTTAGGGTGCTTTAGTCTGACCTGTTTTCCGAAGGTGCAGAATCGAGTTGTCTTCTCTTGCATATGACGATGCGTATGGGAGAGCAGCACAAGGTCATCAACAAAATCAAGGTCCTCTAATGTGGAGAAGTTATTTATAACAGAGAAAAAAAAGGCGTCTGTCAAAGTTGAACTGGTGCCAATAAGGCTAATTAAGTGGGTTAGCATTGGTCCTACAGGATGCCTTTGTTATAAATAACCTGGTTTCTGTTATTTCTGCTCTAGCTCATCATCTGATGAAATGGGTTTTGCCCACGAAACCTCATGATACTATATATATATATATATATTTCTTTATTTTATTTGTTAGTCTCAAAGGTGGCTCAGGTCTATTTGTCGTTTTTAAAGTTAACATAGCTACCCCTCTGAGACTTTATAACTACTTATGTGGAACAATCTCTTTCACCTTGTATTTAGCTGTGGGACTCTTAGCATATTTCCAAGATTTGCAGAAGAGCTCTGTGTAAATATAACAGCCTGTCTCTCTCACTAACAGAAATTGGTCCAGTAAAAAACACAAAACAAAAGAAAAAAAAAACCTCCCACCTTGTCTCTCTAAATTCTTGGTCACATCATTCATGAGTCAATCCTCTTAGACCATAAAGGGTATACGATTGCTATGATTTGTAAGGTAAGACAAATATTTGCACAATCACTCTAATAACTGTTGTGACACTACAGTTCAGGTTGGGAAGATTCCTTGATACTCTCTGGGTATGAGAAACAACTCATCATTGAGACACTAGCACTAATCACATCTGTTATGTCTGATCTTGACAGCTACCCGGTGTGATTAAAATTCCTTTGATTCATAAGTAGAGTTCTTTCCTCTGTTCATTTGGTTTATATATGGGCCTGGTTGTTATCAATATTACATAGGTGTGACAGAGGTTAGTGTCTGGCCTTGTCTTGTTTATTTCAACATACTCCACTTCTCTACAAACAAACTTTGAGGCATGATTACCATCCTCCACAAAATAAATTTTGCAAGTTTGAACTGACACTTCTAGGTTACAATTGGAAGACTATACTATGTACCATGATAGAGATTTAGCGCCAGATCATCAACTGGAGTAAACTGGCATTGTTCCATAACACTGCAGTCAAATGGAGATGTGTTGACCAACACTACCTGTGAATGAGGCTCTTAAGTTACACACTTTAGTTGCAACTTAAATTGTCCATCTCTGTGATAAAATAAAAAAAAATCTGATGGAAAAAAAATACTAAACTTTTTTTATTTCAGTTTAATTGCCTAGCAAAGGTGGTTTTTTTTTTTTTAAAAAAGGGTGAACTTAATTATGGAGCATGGCAAATACACTGTAGGGATTATGAGTACTCAGGTTCAGGTTCTATGCAATTTCTTTAATCATTTCCCATTCCAGTTTAGTAGCATTTTACACTCACTTTACATTGATAGAAAAATCTGCACAATGCACTGGGCAATGAAGAATCTGGCCCTCATTCTGGAGCACAGTTTGGTATGGGGGATATTGGCAGTTTTCTGACATTTCATACAAGTTCTGGCATTTTGATGAGAGATAAACACACACAAAAAAGAAAAGACCCCACCAAATGAAGTCACTTTATAAAGTGCTTTCTTCTATTGTCATTTATTTATTATTTTCCCTTGACACTTGTAACAATATCTAACATCTACAATGACATGCTTCTGGTTAGCTAACTCATCAAATAATCCCCATAGTATCACCGTTTATTTTTTTTTCTCAGCTAGATATTTAAGTGGCCAGCAGCATGAAATAAGAGTGGTTTAAAACTCAGGCTTTCCTGGCACACCATGACATTGTATTTTATCTTCAGGAACCATTATAAACTAATTATGCATATGGGTTGTAAAATACAATTAAAACTAATTTTTGCTCCCCTGAAGTACAATTTGTCTTAATCTGCAGCAAGAGTGAATGAAAGATTCAATAAAAAATTAATCAGATGGAACTTTATAGCCTGAGCTAATTCTTCCTTCCCTCCGCCCCTGCCAGTTGCTGAAGGGAAAACTTAAAAATAAGATTGATAGCTCTTTTTCTTTTTAGCATCTAATAGGTTACAGTCATTTGCCATTACACTGCATTGCAACAAGGGACATGCACTTTGGAATGTCACAAACTATACAGGACAAATTGGTTTTATTTCTTTTATAAATTCAAGAACCCTTAGAATATTTGCTCCAATCTTTCGCGGATCAGATTTCAGGATTGCAGAGCAAGAACCAACCATAGTGTGTTAGGAAAAGGCATGTAGGAAAGGAAGATTGACATGAAAAAGTTCATTAGACAGTGCAGTTCCAGCACAACATTGGGCTGAGAGTACTGCCACAGGCCAAAGTGTGGATCTAACTTAGGCCTTGTCTACATTGGAACATTTTATCACCAAAATGTTGCCTTTTGTTGACAAAACAGTGAGAGCATACACACTACAATGCAACAATGCCCAGTTCTGGAGATAAAAACCTTCCAGCCCTGCAAGAGACTTTTGAGTTTTCCTCTCCCTTTATTGTTGGCAAAGCCAGTGTGGACTCTGTTGTTTGTTTTATGGAGAGAACTGGCTTTTGCTAGTATCCTACAATGCCTGCCCTGATGCTGGGCTCAATGTTTTGTGATTTCTGCTGTCCTGCAAGCATGCACCCCTCCCCTTTCAAAGCTCTGGGAAGTATCTGACAGCTGATTGAGCTGCTCCATTTGGGGAACAAAGAACAAATCATTGGAATTCTTCTGTTCTGCCCTGAACTAGAAAGACAGCAGTAGGCGGACTGCTGCTACAGGGGGAGAGCTGGAGAGACTGCCGTGCTGCTTTGACATTCCTCAGCACGAAGAGCTCACAGAGCTACCAGGGAATCACAAGAAGTACAGGAATCAGCTCTGCCTTCCCACATTACTTTGTTCTTATCTGTGGACAGGATGCTAGTAATGGGTCCATGAAATGTCGACAATGGGGGGCAGAAAAACTGGTTTGACTATATTTCACTTTTGGTGACCTTTGCATGTTGACAGCCCTTTTGTCACCATACCTTCCCAGTGTAGACAAAGCCTTAGAAACATGAGTCAAAGTCACAGCTGGAGGAAATCAGAGTTTCTTTATAGAAGTGAGGTCCTCAGCATCCACATTCCTCTCTAACACTGGCTAGCAGTTAGGTCTCAGACTGCCCCAAGTTTTGTACTCCCCTCTGCATAACATGAGAAGTGGGAGAGGAATTATCTGGCATGATACGAGGAGCATAACTAGATGCAATCGATAAGATTAACAATGATAAAGCTTAGTGTTCTAAAATCAGGATAAACGTCTTAATAGTGATAGTTGTTAGACTGTGGAGAAATCCTGTATTGTCAAGAGAAAGGACTTGATGTAGAAATCCTCCTCAAACTGCTATGATAATGCAGACATGGGGCTGAACCAAATATCTACATTCAAATTCCTAAACTTTGAGAGCTTTGGATTCAGATCTAGATCTGAATTTTGCTGTTAGTCCCTATGTCTAGAATGGGATGAAAATAAAAACCCAAATTGAACATCCTCAAATGTGGCAAAAGTTCTGTTCTCCCTCAGCACTTTGTGTCTCAAGCCCATTCTACTAATGTACATGAAACAGGATAAAGAGGAGATTGCTACTGGATTGGAACAATTCATTTGTGCTGCAGAGTCAGAGGTGGAGTGGGATTCAACATTTGTAATTGTGCACAGTGGAAAATGCAATTACAGACTCTGATGAGAGTCCTATCTAGTTAAATGCTATTAGCTTGTTATATTGCATAACACGAGTCTTGGGATGAAATGACAGATCAGGAACTCTGAGGCCTTAACATGCTGTACATAGTACATCAGGAGAAGAGAGTGTATTAAGGAAAAAACCTTACATTCTTGGAATGGGAAACAGATTGTTCTCCCCTGTGGTGCTGCTGCTTCCTTCACTATCCATGCTATATCCACTGCCAAAACTACTGGCTGAGGAGCCAGTGGAGACAGAGCTTTCTGCTGGGCGGTGGTTGGTAGGCCTTGCTGTATAGAGCAGGAATAACAGGTTACAAAGAAGCATGTAAGACACAAATATGAACAGTGCTAAGAATGTGCTATTGATCACAATTACATGCTGCAAACATTTTTAAATTCTACTTTACTTCCTATTCATTTGACAAAGTGAGTAGGATAGTTCTATGATGAGAATACCAATGGACCTTCCTGTTGTTCTGAATGAAACATTCCTTCATTGCATTTGATGACTTTTGATACAGTGCAGGGAAGTCAAAAGGAAATATCACCAATATACAATCTGTTCACATAAATTGTGAACAGAAACAACCTCATCTTCAAACATCATACCATTGCATTTCTCAACTGCTTCTTAATATCTTTTGTAACCATATTGTATGCCTTGAGTTGTTAAGCACAGCCCTTAGAGGTTTAGCACCAATTTACCAAATTGCTATTTCCCAGACTAATTTCATTTGGTCTGCTCTAAAGAAATTATTTTTACTTTAGAGGATTTATTTTGGTTTATTAATTTGACATGTCAAATGAATTAATTGCCCTGCATTTGGCAGCAAGTTGAGAAATATACACAGACCACATTGTGACACTACACTTAATAGAAGAACAATGAACAATATCTGTTCACACACTGAATAACACAATTGCCCAGGAAAAATAAATATAGTGATTTTTTCTAGAAAAGATAGCTATGGATGACACTTTACACTTATTTTAATAGAACAAATATAATGCTGAGGAGAGAGACATATGTGCTAAAAGCTCTCACTTTGGGTACATCTACACAGGAGTGTTATTTTGGAATAACTGATGTTATTTCAGAACAACACAGTTTGCGTCTACACTACATGCAATTATTTTGAGCTGGAGGACTTCTTAATCTGACTCCTGTAACCCTCATTTTATGAGGAGTAAGGGAAGTCGGAGGAAGAATGCTTTTCCTCAAACTTCCTGCTGTATAGACAGCGCCAAAAGCCAAAATAAGCTATTTTGACTTAAGCTATGCAATTGATGTAGGTGAAGTGGCATAGCTTATGTTGGCTTTATCACTGCTATTTAGATGTGGCCAGGGTGTAAACATAAAGTTTTGCTGTTATCTTGGTCAGCCTTGAAGTGTGAAGACAAAGACTTCAAAGGGATTATATTTAAACATGAAATTTGCCAAAAATCTAAAACAAATAATTTCAAATATGGCCCAGAATGCAGTTACTATCCCATCCAAATTCCTGATATTTATGTTTGACTTGGTGTGTGTTATTTCTGGTGAAGCCTTCTGCAAACTGCCTTGCAATGTGACGCAAAGTTATATCCTTTGAAAACGGGTGAATAGCTGACAGTGGAAAATAAGGATAAAAGGAAATAGTGCACTGTGAGTCACTGGTCTGTCCTAACCATGAATATCTAATCCCATAATCCAGGTTCCATCTAAAGTGCATGGTAGCACAGCCCTGCAGATGCTTAATGAGCCCCACTGGATGTACTTGCTGTTCTGTCCTCAAGAGGAAGCTCCTGCTATAGCTGAGGGAGAAGTGCCCGTCCCCCAGCCAGGCAGCTCTGTGCTCAGAGCCCTGAGCTCCTGGCTGGGCGGGGCTTATTAAGCAGCTGTGTGTGTGTGTGTGTGTGGGGGGGGGGTGTTACTGCACATCTTAAAGGGAACCTTACTCATAATGAATCTTCCATAATGAATTCAGCCATCAAGTAACTTTTAAAAACTCTACTATCATCAGCTATTTTCAGTCCCTCAGTCCCTCCATTTGAATACTGTCTAGGTTTCTTTAAGAACCCATTGATTCTGAGCTGTATTTCATAACACTTAGCACTTAAATTATTCTGAAGAGATGATTAGCAGTTAACTTTTCAAATCATGCCTGTGTCAGTGAGGCACCAATCAAAGTCTCTGTTTTTCCAGAGAAATAGATGTAGCTGTGCAAATACTCTGCAAAAGAAGAGCCTAATAGATAAATGACATTACACTAGGAACTCTGCCAGTTTGGTATTCCTGACAACTCAAGTGGGCAGTGAGCTAGATCATCATTGGATAGCATAGGAGTAGAAGGCCCACCCAAAATCTGTATTTCCAGAGATGTGTCTAGGAGGACGAGGAGAAGGGGATTGTAGAAATCTCATGGCCTCCTACTTCTGGCAGTGTGGATTCCTCCTTGCTCATGCCTGAGCCAAAGCTACCCTTAATCTAATTTTTTAGACTGTTTGCAGGATCAGCACTAATCCCAGTGGTTGTTTCCACACAGGTGTGCCATAGGATGGTGTCACATAGGCTTGGTTACTCCTCATGCCATCACATCTAAACATCCCTGACCCCACAAAAACGATAAAAGACCAAAGCGGTGGTTATGAAGTGTGATGGTGTTGCTGCTCCTTCATTATGGAGATACCTGCAAGTTAGGGTCCTTATTGAACACCTCAGCTTGTTCATGGTTAAAACAGAGGGGAATGACATCGCTCCTGGTTACCTTGTTTATTCTGTAAAGACTAGTTCCTGAGCCCCTCCTCCACTGCCTCTGTATCCTTATGGGTAGTAGTAGGAATATAGAATTGAGTACAGCATTCCAAACAAGATTTCACCTAACATTATAACCATACAAATGTAGCACAGGAGGAGATCTAAAAAGGTCATCTAGTCCATCCTTTGTACTGAAGGAGGACCAAGTATATTCATAGACCAATTCTGACTGGTATTTTTCTAATTTGGTCTTCTTCAAGTGACAGGCATTACACAACCTCCCTTGGAAGTTTATTCCAGTGCTTAATTATATAGTTCTAGAGGTTTTCCTAATGTCTTGCTTAAATCTCCCTTGATGTAGATTAATCCCATTACTTCTTACCCTGCCTTTAGTGGACATGAAGAACCATTGCTCATTATCTTCTTTATAAAAGCCTTAGGCTGTGTCTACACTGGCCACTTACTCCGGAAAAGCAGCCGCTTTTCCGGAAAAACTTGCAAGCTGCCTACACTGGCCGCTTGCTTTTCCGGAAAAGCAAGCGGCCAGAGTAGACAGCTGGCAAGGTATTCCGGAAAAGCAGCCGCTTTTCCGGAAAAACTTGCAAGCTGCCTACACTGGCCGCTTGCTTTTCCGGAAAAGCAAGCGGCCAGAGTAGACAGCTGGCAAGGTATTCCGGAAAAGCAGCCGCTTTTCCGGAAAAAGTGCTTTTCTGGAAAAGCATCCTGCCAATGTAGACGCGCTTTTTCTGGAAATACCTATAACGGAAAATTGTACCGTTTTAAGCATTTCCGGAAAAGGGGGCCAGTGTAGACGTAGCCTTAATGTACATGAATATTATCAGTAATCCCTCCTCCCACCACAGTTGTCTTTATCCAAGTCTAAATGTGTCCCTTTTTTATTAATTTTTTCTTCACAGGTCCGATTTTCTTTTGTAATTTGTGTAGCTCTCCTCTAAACACTGTCCAACTTCTCTACATCTGTCCTAAAGGGTGGCATCCCAAACTGAACACAATAGTCCAGTTGAGGTCTTGCTAACAGCAAGTAGAGGGAGCCAGTTAACTCCCCTGTCTTATGTACAGCATTACTGTTAATACATTCCAGAATGATATTAGGGTTTTTGCAACAGCATCACATTGTTGGTTCCTATTCAGTTTATAAATTTATAATCCATTATAACCCTGCAGAACCTTTTCAGCAGTAATACCTCCTAAGCCAGTTTTTTCCCATTTTGTAGCTGTGCTTTTTGTTTTTTCCTTTTTGAAATGCGTAAATGTTGTTATAAGACTATTTGTTCTCAATAGCTGAATTTATCTCCTGGGCCTTTACTTACATTTTGAAGTTGTTAAGAGTTCTATTTTTTAGGAACACCAAACTTCCTTCTTGGTGCTCATTGGGAATAAAATGTCCTTTGAGAATGCATTTTGCATTTAGTATTTTAAATTTCTATTCTTCACTCTCCCCTATTTTACATTTTTCACGTTAATTTCCTTTCCCATCAACTCTATTACTAGAATTGAGTGTTATACATGGAGCACTCAAGTTCTGAAGGCTTCAACATTCGATATGGGTTATTCATTTGTGTCTGATCCACAAAGGGAATTAGTCTGCCACTGCTGCCACGTTGGGACCTAGTGCTATAGAATAGATCTGTTTGCCTTCTGTTTTCCCCACAACATATTTTTGACTTTTAATTGGGAAAAAAAAACCCAAATACGAAATTCCATAAACATTCAATTATTCAACAAAATATTCATTTTTTTCCACAGAAAGCAGACACTTTTTGGGTGCATCTACACTGCACCATAACTCAAAGTAAGATATGCAATTTGAGCGATTCTATTTCAAAATAGTGCCAAATTTTAAAATAACCCGCTACTCTGAAACGACCCTTACTCCTCATCAAATGAGGTTTACAGGGACGTTGGAATAGCGAGCTCAAAATAACGGGCTTGCTGTGAAGCTGCGGGATAGCTATTTTGGAATACTTCAGTAACCGAAATAGCACTGCAATGTAGACGTACTTTGTGAACATTTTCATTTAATCAAAAATCCAGTTGTCCATTGAAAAACAGTTTAAGGGAAACTTTCAACCTTCTCTACTGGCTATGCTCATGTGTGAGCTCATGAATACATGATGGGTTGCCTGCAATAACAGGGTAGTGGAATTGATGTCCCAAAAGATCTTTTCCAGGTCTGTCCTATATTCCTATAACATTATAAACTCTTGTGAGGACAGGGCAAGAAAATGTTACTTAGCTTTTAGCTCTAGGTAGAAACAGTAGTCTAAGTGAAATCAAGACTTTGCCAACAGCCTTATGGAACACTGGAAAAATCATCTGACTGTATGGAGTGGACAAAGTAGGGAGTGAGGATTAAAGGGTGTAAAATTAGTCTCCTCCTTGGTAGTAGTTCAGATTTCTGCTATTAACCATTCATTCTGGTGTTCATTCTGATCAGGCGGTTAATAGCAAGCTCCTTTTGTTAACTTAACATCTTGTTCTCTACTAACGTTGAGTTGCAGTGGTTGATAATAATTCAATAAATATGCAA